TACAAGCGGCTGAAATTAACTTTCTTCTGTAAAGTGCCTGGGCTGTCCCTTAGAGATAGGGTGAGGACTCAGAGTAGAGCCGCTACTCCTCCACGTCGAGAGGAGCCGGTTGATGTGGCTCAGGCATCTGGTTAGGATGTGTCCTGGACGTCTTCCTGGTGAGGTATTCCAGACACAACCCATTGGAAGGAGGCCCAGGAGGAGACCCAGGACAAGCCGGAGGGACTATGTTTCCCGGCTGGCCTGGGAGCGCCTTAGGGTTCCCTCCGAGGAGCTGGCCCAAGTGGCTGGGGAGAGGGAAATCTGGGAGCTCTACTGAAGCTGCTACCCTCACGACCTGGTCACAGATAAGCAGTTGAAGATGGATAGATGAATGGATATTATACATAAGGAAGTAAACATGGACAGCATCATTAAAAAGGAAAAGAAACCCTTGTATTATGAAGCTGGCATAGGAACCTTCATTAATAAAGGACTGAGGTTGCTGCGATAGTTGATGAGTGATTCTGATTGTATTTATGTGTCATAATATGAAAGAAATTAAAGCCTGAGAAGGTTTCATAAAGTAATTTAGAGTAAGATTGGAAATGTTATCATTCTACAAGTGTCAGTAACTTTGATTCAGCTACTCTACTTACATCCAGTCGTTTTATATGTAAATAACTTGCCAAGGAAAGCAGTCCATTTAACCTTTATTTATTTTAGCCAGCTCTGAACATAGGTCAGCTCAGCCCTTTGAATTAAGTGTGACTTCTCATTTGACTCCAAAAAAAAGTCAAATTTTGATTGGAATTAACAAGCTATAGCTTGACACAGCTAAACTTTTAGAGATATATAAATGAAGGGTATGAGTATAATGGCACAAACTATCCAAGCCTTTAATGATTAATGTGCTGCTGTTATATTCACTCTCAGTTTTTAATAGATCAAAGCATTAATAGTTAAACATTTCCTTTTGAGTGGATCTGCTTTAAAGAACAGCAGGATACGATCAGGGGAAAGAAATATTCATTACAAAGAATCGATTTATGTAGATTTTTCAGTTGGGCTGCAAAAGATTTTCTCTCTGAAAGTAGTTTAGAAATCAGCCAAGTAGAACAACTCGTAACACAAGCACAGCACAAGAGGATTATCAGTCCTGCACTAAGGTCTTGATCTACACTTCTCCTCTTTAGATTCTACATCAAAGGAAACAATATATGGTGACTTTATGTCTTGAGAAACAGATTCTTTGGGGTTGGAAGGTTTTAGAAACTATTTCTGTTTCTGTTTTTAAGCCCATTTGATGTTGATTCTTTCTTCCTGAAGAAGCTAGAAAAACAAGAAAAGAACTGATAGCTCAATGGTCCATTTATAGCCAGAAAGAAAAGGCAAATGTCTTTTAAATTTAATGGATAAATAGCATTATTTGAAGATTAGCAAAGAAACATGTTTTAAACTCTTAAAAATTATTTGAAGCCTGTCTTTAACACATTTATTATGGCATAATCTAGAACTAAAACCTGATAGCACAGTTTGGAGCCATAAAATATAATTTGCACTGCATTATAACGTGATTTCCAAAAGTTATTGGCCAGGAAATTGCTTGCAGTCATGGACTGACTAAAGTTGCATCTTTTTATCTAAGGTTCATAAGCAGGAGTAGTCTATCTTTGCTTTCTGTGTATTACTTTCTTTTTGATTAGGAAAAAAAATTATTAAGAAAAGTTTTACCTGCTTCAGAGAATTCTTCATTTCTACCTTTTTGTTTATTGTCAATCTTGTTGACAGTTTGATAGGTAAAAACAAAATACATTTTCGTCACCAACATACGTCTTCAAGATCATCCAGAGTTACTGTTCAAAGTAACTTTATGTAGATATTTTGAGAATGTAGTATATTACTTGCTACAGATACGTTAGTTGTTGTTTATTGAATATAACTTAAGGTTTTCTTTGGCTAAAATGAATGTTTTTACCAGAGAGAGTATAGATCAAAGCAAGTTTGTACCATTTTAAAGCATCTATAGTCTAAAAAAATATGTGAATATGAAGCTAATGATGATCAGATGTGATGTGTCACTAATGATATCCTTGTGTTGAGTATGGCAGCTGTCCATAAACTACCTTACTTTGGTTTACTTTGCAATTTACCATATATTATGAATGAGAAAGCTTTACATATGTAACAGGTGAGAAAAGAAGGAAGAAAAAAAATCAAACTCTAAAGGACAGCAAGAAGCAGTGATAAACGCCCAGGTAATGCAACCACCGGAACACCAACAATGGTGCATGGATCCACCACAGCCCTGGTCCCAGCCACAGGAAGTGAACTCCTGGTTATCACCCTTCCAGCTTACCTTTTTATAGGGGCTGAGGCTACAGAGAGTGCAACACCTACTGGTGCCATCTGTTACACATAGTATGTTTCTCGCTGCTCATTAGTTGTGCACCATCCCCCTCCTCTTTTTCCTCCATGCAAATATGTCAATAGTTTCAAGGTTTTGTTACATCCCCAACATGAATGTAATGTTGTTTTTTGCACCCAAGTAACACCTTGTTCTGTTTTAGGCTCCGCCTCTAACATTAAATGGTGTTTCCTGAGTCTCAGTACAATTAGCGAACAGCTGTACACTAAATAAGGCCGGTGAAGCTTTACTTCAGGGCCTCTTGGTCATTTGTCTGCCATGCACCTCTGTGGTTGTTGTAGCATCTAATGGACTGTTAATTTGCTGCCATGTAAACTCTTTCAGATGTTTTTATTTTTAGGGCAGCTACAGTTTTCCCAGTGTTCTCCTGTTTATGTACTTGTTACTGTAGGTAGGTTATTTTGTAGGCTTGTATATTTCGGTTTTAGTTTCAGTTAGGTAAGTCCAATTGTTCTTTTAGGGTTTTGTTTGTTATTTTGGACGGAGCTCTCCCTGAAGCTTTTACAACTCTACAGAAAACTTTCTTTAAGAAGGTAGCAGAATAAACTTCTTTAAATGCCCTTTTGACTCCTTGATTCCCTGTCTAAATTCATTTTAGCGCCTTATACCTCCTAGATCCAGCCAGGGGATGTAAGTTTTTAAAACAGTGTTTTCTATAAAACACCTACTGTTCTTGGGCCTAAATACACTGTAAATCTTTGAAACATAAACAATGTATGTATTTAGTATTCCCTGGACCACAGCTAAACAATGGTAGCCAGCATCTAGTTTTAAACTTTACAAATTTGCTTAAAAATCCAGAGGTTCTGGACAATTATTCTTTTTTAGATGGAAAATATTACTCTTTACTGCAGCTTCCTCTATGTTTTTTAGTTATTTGTTATTCTCATTTGAATTTGTTTGTATTTCATATTTTTTATAACCGTTTAATAAATTAGCAAACCTATGTATTTCTCGTTTAAAATGTTTGTTCCTTTTTAATCACAACGATAAACAAATAAATGTGTACCTTCACATGAAGGCTACTCTTAATATGACAAACTTTAAAACCTTGACTTAAAACCACATTTAATGATTATATAATTATTTTTTTTGTTTTATTATCCAAAGCAAACATGTAGGAAAACATTTTAAGCACTAAACAAAAGCTCTTACAATAACCTTTTATTTTATTAAAACTTTTGTAAAGCTCACTACTTCTCTTTTCATAGACTGTGCATCAAAGAACAGGTTGCCTATTTCAACCAGAATGAATTTGGTAGGCTTATGCCTGAATTTATTTATTATAGTTGTATTTCAAACAAACATAAAAAAAACAGCAAGCACATTGGAAACTGTTTGAAAAAGATGAAAAAAAAAACCTACACATTTTGTTCCACTTTAGCAAACCTCCTGGGCATCAAACAGCTTTACAGGCATGAACAGCTTGTGATCTACCTTAATTGAAGTTACAACTTTTCTAACTTTAAATGCTTCCTAACAGAGTAAAGGTTAAATGTAACATCACTTTAGTTTAAACAGCATTTTTTTTCTGATTATTGGAACAAAAATGATTTCTCAGATTAATTGTGAATGCAATCAAAGCATGGTCCTCACTACTGAGTAAAATTATTCTACTCAGAGTAAGCAGATTCACTTGTGAGTCTCCATGCAAAGGAGCTCTGATGAGAGCAGCTGTACTTTTCAGTTTGCACACATTAACATGTTTAAAGACAATCAGCCGACAATTTCTAACATTGAAGGGTGTGTATTGTCAGTCTGAGGTACAGGGTGCTGGCATCAAGTAGTAAGCGCTCCAAGTTGACCCCAATATGTCCGCCTCTGCTGGTTGACTTGCTGCAACAATCGCTGCTGATATCAATCAGCGTTGTAGATCAGAGAGAAAGAGAAGGAAGCAGAATGCAGACGAGCTGCGCTAACATATTAAACATCAGAGCGTGCACCCAGAGATATTTCTCAAATGGGAATGGAGGGGAGAAGTGTGTGTTTCCATTATCTGCAGGAATGCTGGGCATTGTGAGAAAATGGAACTGCTAATGAGGGCCAAATACATTGAGAACAGTTGCATTGTAAATGAGCCGACTTTGTGCACACATGGGATTGAATTTGGTGTTGGTTAATCAAAGGAGGAAAAATTGCAGAGGAATAAATGGCTGGAAATAAAACGTGTAACTTGCCTCTCTAATGACACGTAAGGTTATCCTTATTGTTATTCCCACCATGCAGTCGGGTTCAGGAACTGTGAGATACCCCCTGACATTAAGCTGGTAGGCTGCTGGATTCAGAGCCGCTCAATTTCCCAGGGTGTGATTACATCCCAGGCTTTGTCTGGACCACTTTGGGGTTTTGAAGTCGAGAAACCTGATCAAAAAAGCAAATACTCTGACTAGAGGTCATGAGATTTAACTCATCAATAACAGGGGAAAGTTAAATTCTCAGAGCTTCCATATGTAGCAAATAGTTCTGAGATAGGGAAGTCGTGGGAAAGGCTTTTTAGGAATGTGAAGGCCTTTCCCAATTTGCTCCAGGGCTGGCTTTGGTCGCTGGTGACCTGATAGAAAAAAAACACACTTGAAAGCAGGATTTCATTAAACATTTATTTACAAAACAATAAGCATGACAAAGAATTATTTGAGAGTGAATACAAAACAGGTGATAAAATGATAAAATACAATACCATACACTTTGTATATCTTATGAACGTGTTAAATAAACTCTGCTTAAATTTGTGAAATCTGAAAAAACGCTGAGCCGAGGAGCAAGGCGGCCAGTTTTCTAAACTGCTTATCATAACAAGCATTATTGCATTTTAGGTTGTTTAAGGCAAGAATGAGAGACACGGAAGGGATGGGAACAATTCTGGAATAAAACGGGAATATATTTTCTGCTCTTTACAGACCACACAATCACATAAACATTAATGACTGTAGGAGGTACAGATAAAAGAAATAAAAGAATAGTGTAACAACTTTACTAATAAGCTTGGTCCATATGTCTTTCTTTTAGGAACTTTCAGAGCCATATGTGTGCTGCATTATGAAACAGTCTCTGCAGTCGTCAGATGAGACGCTTCCTGAAGTTTGTGCTGAGCACCATAATGACTTGCCGTCTTTGGTGCCTGGTGTGCTGTACCTGTCTGAGTCCACACAGTTGGAGTCCCGAGGTCTCAGTCTGTCCCTTTCTCTTCGATTCTCTTGTCAGTACGGGTAATGCTTCTGCTTCTTCCCGGCAAAGCAGGAGAGCCAGGTGCAAAGGAGCATTGCAGTGGCGGCGCCCGCCCCTGTGCAGTAGTATGCCCAGCCAATTTGACAGGAACCTGCAGAGCAAAGCAAAGGATTAAAGAACATTTTCTCAGTTTTGATTTCTGTTCCCTATGAAGTTGGGTGAGCTCTTCGATGGCAGATTTCAGGAAAGTAATTTGTAGCTTATGATAAAAATCTGCCAAAAGTTTTACAACTCAAGCCGGAAAAAACTCAGCAGAGAAAACTCAGAAGGTGAAGTCATTTTGAAAAGCAGAGCAGAATTCAACGCAGGCTTAGTTTATTTCTCTCACATTTCAAAGACTTGTTGGAGCAGAAAAACTATAATGTTTTGTTTACAATCACTTGTTCCAGATGGGGAACGCTGAGGGCCCCCAAGCACATGCAAGTCAAATATGCTGGACTTTAATCACAATGTAATATGAGCCTGTTTCAGAATCTCCACCACCGAAATCTAAATACAACAAAAAGTGGTGGCTATAAAACAAGGTGGTCCTGAAATTGTTGCAACAGGATTTTATTCACTGTGTTCAACTAAAAATGTTACCATATAAAGCAACTTCTTCCCTCTTACAAATGACCTATAAGTATACGAAATTCTTAAAAACATGTTAGGTGTCGTGTGATGCATGTTTGTATGTATTAGGATTGGTTTTACTCTAATATTTTAGAATGTAATGATAATTGCTTGTATGTTTTTGATTTTATATGGATATGTTTTGGTATTCAAACATCAGAATTAGCTGTCTGTGATTTTCTAATTTGATTATACTATCATTATAATTAGTAATACTATTATTTACAACAATTGTTTTTTTAGAATTAATCCCTCTTTTAAATAGCAATCCAAGAAAAATGGATTAAATATACCAGAGGGCATTGAAACTGAGCTAAAAGATCAATTCCAAATGCTTTTCAACTTCATATATTTTATTTAAAGTACATAAGATGTGTTACATCATGTGTGTTTCATGTATCCCTGTTTGATACTAACATGTCAGTGTAAGGTGAAAAGGATGGAGCCAGATGCTTAACATTTTTGTTCAGGCTGCTCCTACATTCCCCCTCTGCTTGTGAGAATCATTAAAGCAAATGTGAGAAGCATGCCAAGGACTTTAAAGAATGTTTCTGAAAGCCTAACAATATAAAAATGTAATAAAACTCCCAGATATATATGTTTAAAAAAAATTTGCTTTTGATATTTTGTAATTGTTGCAACAACTATTCATGTTGCTCATTTTAAACTTCTGATTTTTACTATATCTATAATCCAATGTTTTATATCCATATCTGGTCTGATTCTGACATAATTACTGTACTAAACCTTGATATAAAACAAAAATATGGACCGATTCTGACTAATTGGTCCTGCGTTAATACAGGTTATGATTTGGCTAACTCTAGTGTCACTGCTGACTCCAAAAAAAAAAAAAAAACTGTTTCACACATGAATGATCGATTGTTAACAGTAACTCGTGATCAAATAGAGATGCTTCAAAAAATGGCTGATGCCTTGAACCAGCTAAATTAAAATTTGAGCAGCTCTGACTTGTAACAGGCATGTTGGGGAAAAAAAAAAAGTCATCTTTTCCGATCAGTTACCATACAAATCAAAGAGCTACCATGTCAATCTAACAACATAACACTTTGGTGTTAAAGCAGATATTAGGTAAAGAAGACTCAGATGCAGCCCAAGCTGCTTAATTTTCTCTGTTTACTGATGTGATGAAAGATCACTTAGGCAGAGAGAGAGCAACACTTTTAAAAGTAGAAAGTAGAAACATAATACAGGACACTAACGTTTCTATTCTATGCCTTTTAGTTTTCTACCTCTCTCCATTACATGTAAGATCACACACTCGCAGATGGCCGCTCACACTGAGCTTAGTTCTGCTGGAGGTTTCTTCCTGTCAAAAGGGAGTTTTTCCTCTCCACTGTCGCTACAAGCATACTTAGTGTGAGGGATTACATTCGAGTCAATGAGTCGATGCAATCAACTGGTTTTCATTAGATAGAAAACTTTGAATCAATTTGACTGTATGATCTGGTGAACTGTAAAGTGCCTTGAAATGACATGCGTTGTGAATTGGCGCTATATAAATAAACTGAATTTAATTGAATAAACAATCATAAAAAAAATATGGGGAACTATAAAATTATTAAAGTAAAAAAGTCTAAATCCCTTAGGCATATTTCCAGACTGATGCTATGATATGTCAAGTCAACTAACTAACAAAACCACCTACTCATAATATCTTACTTTCCAAACTTAGTTTCTTAAAATTATAAATTTCATGTTTCATGTTTATAAATTATAAATTTCCATTCGATTAAAGGTACACTATGCAACCGGTGTTGATTTTCCAGCGAGGCTCCCCCCAGAGGGCGAAAGTAAAAGTGCACTGTCGTAAATATGCACAGCTGTTCTCCTGGTTTCTCCGTCAAGCCAGGCGCGGTTGTTTTGAGCTTAGCAGACAGGCGAACGCAGCTGGCGCGACAGAAGCAGCGAGTTTACATGCAAAGTCAATGGTTGACACGCGTCAAGGCGCAGCAAAAGGTCCCGCGGTGCGTTTTGAGCAGCAGGCGCAGCGCGTCTGAGCAGCTGAAGCAGCGCGTCGGGCGCGTTTAAGCATCTGACGCAACGCGCCGCAAACGCGCTGCTGCTCGAGATGAAGAAAATTTTATTTTTGCTGCTTGACGCGCCGCCTCAACCAATCAGAGAAGCTGATCTGGGAGCTGGCAGGGAGAGAGACACATCGCTGATGATCAGAGCGCTCTTATCACTCCTCTTAAACAGTTTATTGACGCCTAAATTAACTTAAAATGCAGAAATCTGCCGGTAGAATATGTTCGCTTTTATTATCCTGCTGCCTGCAGTTTGGATTATTTAGATGAAAAACACCTACCAGCTGCCGCCGTGAACCGCGAGGAGGCTGCTGATGAAGGGCTTCCAACTGTCGGCGCACCGCTGCTATGTGGGGGTCTGAGCGGCTCCGACAGAAAAAATATTGGAAGGCAGGATTGTAATCTGGAGGAACTCACTGCACTGATTACGTTATCAGGTGTATTTTCTCACTTAAAAACATATTAAAATATATATAGTGAAGCTCCGTTCAACGCGCGTCAGACACACTTTTGCACCGCGCAGCCAGAGCAGCAAAGCTGCTTCAGCCGCGCGTCAGAACTAACTGGTACAAGCAGCAAAAATGAAGCAGCAGACGCAATTTTGCTGCTTTTGCTGTGTGAACGTAGCATAACTGCACAAAGATTGCCACTGTGCTATCAACAAGCATGCCTTTCACTGGGGGCGTGTAGCAGTTCTCGCCGTAAAGCAAGACCGACTCTCGCGAGACTTCTGAGCCTGTGGGTGCGGGTCGGTGCTCCTGCAATTGCAAGTGCGGTTTTTCCCCCACAGACCACCAGGGCGGCCGAGAATACCTTTGTTCAACCTGAAATTACTCATTTAATCATCCAAAACGTTATGGAACACATTAATTAACTGAAAAATGTTGCATAGTGTGCCTTTAAGCTTTTTTCTCTCAGTTAGAATCCCATGCTGTAATGCCACCTAAGCTTGTGAATATTTAATGAGCAGTAACAGTTATAACTGTGATGCATTTGTTGAATGACACCGGCACCAAATATTGTTGTTGCTGAAGATCACAACTATTCAGACCTCTAACTAAATAACTAAATTTGACACCCAATAAACCTCAGATTCAAGAGCAGCTTTTATTTTAAACAGCCATTAGATTCTGCAATCTGTTCTGTAGCTTCGATTTGGGAAAAAAAAATTGTGTATTTGAACATGAAAATATCATTTTAAAATGTAATCAGTAGTAAATTAGTGAACATAAATAAATGTTGAGAAAATATTTAAATATTTACATTTATATAGTTTAATAAGAGGAAAACTGTCAATCGGTACCTTTAAATATCAAAATTAGAATTTACATAAATATTGCTACACTTTGCACAATTATCTTTTCTTCAGTTTCACATTTATCAAAAAAGCTTAATAAGCATAATAAATAGTTAATATGACTTATTTGTTATTAGTTTACTAAGTGGGAATGTTTCATTTCTAAAGACCCTGTGTGGTCAAAATAATAACTGGAATTTATCATGCCTCTTTATGCGCTGATCTTCAGATTGAACACACACATGCAGCGTTTGTGATCTCCAAAGGCATTCTAAGCTGTCAACTACACTCCTCATGATTAATAAATGAGAAAGAAGAATTAATTTGTGTGAAGATTTGTGTGAAATCTGCTGCTCGCATGGGACAAAAAAGAAATCACCAGCCTGTCATGGAGCTAACGAGAGCAACAGCTCCAGTAGAAAGAAACAAGAAAAAATTAATTTGCCAGGAGCAGCAAATGACACACTGATGCAAGCATGCTTGTTAACAATGATGCTGAAAAGAGTCCGCTCTTTCAAACAGGAAATTACGACATGAGAACTGGATACCCAACATAATTAAGATATGTAATGGCATCCCAGTAATTTATAGGGAAGGTAAATCTTTTATGATGCATTCCTCTGAATAACACGGCTGTTGCATAACTCCTGTCATTTTTTTACAGTATTGACAGCTTTTAACTGTACAAAGTCATAATTTGCTTGACGGAACTTGCTTTTCTGTAGTGTTTGTCTGTCTTCAAAAAAAAAACAGAACTCTAAAAAACATTTTTTGTCTTATTGAAGAGTGTTTACTTTTATCCTGCTCTTCTATATGATTTGTCATAACAATTACTGACAGAACGATGTGGTCTCATGGCAGTACTTCTTAAGTACCACAACATAAATCTTTTGATTCATTCCCTTAGACCTGAATTTATTGTGTATCCATGTAAAGGAACATAAAATTGTAGGCTGTGTTGTAGGTCACTCTAATAAAGAGCCGTGGTATTTAGAGTAAACCAACATAATCTGTCAGCAAGCACCAACTGCTTATATGTCATCTTGGATGTTTGTGCCCTGAATGGCTGAGTGAAACAGCTTTTCCTCCCTGAATAAGCTGGTTCGCTGTACTGTTATTAGGGACCATGCCTAATAAACTGACCTTTATTCTTTATGTGCCCTTTTGGGTTTCCTCAAATACACCATCGGCCTAAATGTTCCTCTTGTTTCTAAAGCTAATTAGTGACTGTTTACAAAAGAAACCAAAGGCCAATTGACTTAGAAGGTGATGGGGTAGTAATTCCAGTATGTAAACAGAGCAAAACTTATGGGTTTGTTTACATGTTTACTGCCTCTTGGAACCTACAGGCTAATAGCGATTATAAGCTCTGTTGTTCTAGTGTGACTGATTTGAATTTCAGAAAGATGAGTCCTGCCTGTCATCCAGTTTCAAAAGTGATAGAAGACAGATATGTCAGGCCTATTTCGGCGTGCCACAGTTTTTGCTGGATCTTTTTATTATTTATGAAGCAGAATTGATGTGGTTGTCAAATAAACAACATAAAAAAAAATAGGACTAATTCCTTTGGGAATCATTCTAGTGGGGAGTTCGAAATAACAGCTGCTCAAAGATATTATAAAAGAAAGGCAACTTTTTGTGTAAATGGTCTAAAATATGTTGTGTACTTGACCAAACAGTGCATTTTTCTGGGTCTGAAAGAGTAAAGCAGGATTAATGTGTAATATGTACTGTATGCCCTCCTGTTTGCCCCAAGAAACTTAGATAAGGTCGGAAATATATGGACAGACAGGAAGTATGCAGATCTAAAAGTCTCACTGTTCATCTAGATACAACTTTTTGACTTAACCCTTTGAAGCCCATTGCTGTAAATATGCAACAACAAACCCTCTGTATTGCTACACAGCTAAGATAGCATGTGGATTCCCTCAGTACCATTTATTACACCTTCAGTTTGGACCTAGGGGCCTTTGGCAAGCTCTAATGGTGTACGTTATCATTGACATTATCATTTTTCAGAAATTTGTAATATACCTACATTTCTATTCATTTTTAAAATGAGTAGAGAGTTAAAAAACTAGGTAATGTTAAGTCTTTTTCTAACCATACTCTGATCAAACATTCATGTCTGAGGCTGCTAGTGTTGATAAGTTGATCTTGAGAGGGGACGGCTTTTTAAAAAAGAAAATGTTTTACAATAAAGAAAAAGCTTTTTAACTGAAGAATGATGCACCTCAAATAAGGTGTGAAATTGTTTTACTACCCTACCAAAATGAATGGGCCACAAAGATTGCTCCTCTATGTTCATCCCTGATGTTGTTACTTTCTGATATTGTTAAAACACAAATCTATAAACTTCAAAACAGCAACAGAGGAATTTGGGTTTGGTTTCACAGAGTTTTTCTTTCTGATTAAAATCAGCCATTCGTGTGCATTTAATTAGTAGAATTTTCATGCAGGAATTTTTCACATTTTTCATTTTTGTTAAATGAAAAATACAAAAAAATAGAGAAAAAAAGATGTGCTTTATATTTTGCATGGCTATATTTCTAAAGGTGTAATGATATTAATGATATTTACACTTTCAAAAAATAAATCTATATTAAAATTAGATTTAGTCATTAAATGTGATTGTTTGCAGTTTTGCGATGCTCCACTATTTCAGGATTTCAAAAAAGAAATATTCTATTTAATTCATTGCAATAAATGAAGGGTATCTTTTCAAGAAGCATAGATGAGCACAATTAAGATCCTCATTAGACAAGTGCCAATCTGATATTAATATCTGTATCAGTCCTGAAATTGAAGAAAAGTCTAGATCACATTTTGGTGAAAATGGATCCATAGGTGCCTGTCTATTCAGTTAATTTCTATAATAACTTTAGGTTGGTTAAAAATCATATGAACAGCATTAAATTGTTTCTCTTTATGGGCACCTGTCTTTGATTTAATAAATACAATTTATAGCTAAAAACCTTAAACCTTAAAACTGTATAGCTGTTTTTAGGATGGAATTTTTCTTGTTTACACAATTTATTGTTTGTATGACTTATTTTTCTGACCTTATCCTAATCTCAAGTTGCCTTTTAGGATCATTGATATGATCATAAATATCATATTGCTTGTAGAGAGAGGTTGATGACAGCCTCAGTACAGTAAGCATGATAACATTAAATCAAGGAAACTCTGGTATCCTGGTAAAGGATTCAGGGTGTGCAGAAATCCAAATTAATGCATCAGAATCTCTTTGGATCAGATCAGAAGTGAACATCAAAGCATCTCTCATTCTTTTTAAATGTTTCTAGAATTGTTGAGTTTAAAATCCTGTCCGATCGCATCTCAATCAAAAAAGACTTAAAGAAGCATTAGACACATTTTCACCTCTGGGTGGTCTGCTGAGCACTATGTGTAGACCAAAACAAAATGCGTGACAAGTGATGCGACTCTCTCTTCCTCCAGCTGTACCCCATCGTAACCAACCTGTCTGCTTGTATGAAAAGCTCTAACATGTCTAATAAAGAAGTAACTCATAACTTTATTTATTTACTTATTTGGCAAATCTCCTGTAGTGTCTGTCATTAACTGAGTAATTATACCGTTAACAAAGCATTGCATCACTAGCATCATATGGTGTATGTTCAAACGTGTTATTAGACTGCATCGTAATTACACTATATTGCAGTATGAGTAGCTCTCCTGCAGAATTTAGTTGTTCCAATGCTGGCAGAGGCATTTCATAGGCAGGACTTGGCTAAGAGGCAGCTATTTAAATGGATGTATGTATGTAAACAAAAGAATAGAGAACAACACAGAGAGGTGGTTTATAACACTGAAGAAGATGCCTTTAGTTCTTCACATAACCATTCTTTTTTATTTGTAAAATAATGATTTTTTTTTTTGCTTATTGTGATTTTAAATAAATAAACAATTTAGAAAGTTTGAATTAAAATTCAACACATAAATCTGCATACATTTTCCATTTCAACACATCCCACTTGTCAGCTATGGGCTCAAAATGTCAACTTTGAACATAACCCAATCAGCCCGGCTAATGAGTAATTTTAAAATGGATTTTCTTGTTTATTCAACTAAATCACACTAAATAATTTTTCCCTTCTCGGCTCTGAAGTCTGCTAATGCCGGGGTTCTTAATAAAACATTTAGATGAAGTAAAACATTGAACGCTGTTTGATTAGCATCAAATATGGCAGCAGCTGTGAGATGAAAAGATTTCCTACCTCCCAAGTGTCTGATAAAAAAAAAAAAAAAAAAAGCGTAATACTATCTGTGAGTTAGACCTGGTAATGCCAGCTGCATACAGAGCGCAAGCCAAGTTCCCAGTTATTCTCTGCACATATTTATAGCTGTAACCACCAGCTAGAGGAGGATCGGCTGACATCATATCATGAATTTTAAATACCAACATATCATGGCCCTACAGAGTATGACAGCACGAGAGGCGTGTGTCTGTTTTCTGAATAAAAAGGGGATTGGGTGCCATTGTTCAGACAATATATTACTTTTAGAATACATTAGAAATGTCCTTTTTTTTGCATTTTGGAAAAATATATGTGTTTCCCCGAGTTCTTCAATTTTGGGGGCTTAAAACACCTTAACACAAGACAAGTTGATGAAATTTGTTGAATCTTACCCAGTTTGAATTGGTCGGAGCTGTTACTGCAGGTCTGCTGGACTTCTTCGCTGTCCCATCCCAGTGGATAGAGTGCACAGCCTGACCCGATGAGAAGACCTAAGGGAAGGAGATGATGAGAAAATGATGAGGCGGTTGCAGTAACAGAGCCCATCACAGGGGACTTAGAATATCACAAAATATGGCTGGAGGCTGAAAGGAAACCTGCATCAAGGACAAACTCTCATAATCAGCCTCCTTGAGGATGGTTGGCTTTATTTTCTGGATGGACCCCTCAGGGTTTACATAATTTAGGAATCCTTTATTGATATTAATAAAAATGCAAAGCAACATCTTGTGTTTTCTGTCATTATTCCATGGCATTATACCGTGTCTTGCAGAAGTGTTTAGAGCACTTGGATGTGTATTACATTTTATCACGGTCCAACTTGCAATCTTCAATGTACTTTATTTGCATATTATATAATCAACCTATCCAAGGTAATATAATTATCAAGTGGAGGGAAAATTATACAGTCTTTTTTAACCACGTTTTTACAAAGAAATTCAACAGGAATAGTACGTACACACCCTTCTGTCTCCTAACATGGTTGGGTACAGACAATATTTCCTTTGGCTTTCTTCTAGCTCTGCTTCAATAAAGGCCAGATTGGTTGAATTCAGGAACAATAGTTGACCTGTCAATAGATTGCTCCACTTAAGCTGTGGATTTTGCAGCTCCTCCAGAGTTACAATGGATGTTTTGGCAGCCTCTAACATTGACTAACTCCTAGCCCAAATTGTCAGTTCATATGGACAAACATTCCATATGAACTGTCACAGTTCTCAATGATGTGTAATGTTAGGGATACAGTCCGATAAATCAACTTTGCTACCTCACAATTTTGTCCTTTACTGTTAGATATATCTTTACCACAAACATGATTTCGGAAGGCAATTGCTTGCATTGAGTTTTTCTTCAAGGGCATCAAAGTAAAGGAACAACAATACATGTACAACTACATTTCTAGGATTTTATTTTCATTTGTACAATCTGTTCTTTCCACTACACAGTTATGCACCCCCTGCCTTTGGTCAACCCAATACAATTCCAACCAAAAACATTAATCTCTGAATGTATCATTTCAACATATGTATGTATATGTATATATATATGTATATGTATATATATATAT